AGCAGTAACCTCACAGGAGGCAGCTAGATGCACAAGCCAGCTAATGGAAAGGAAAAGAGCTGTAGTGGTGATAGGTGTTAATGAAGAAGAAGGGACCACAAGGGAAGAATGGAGGACTAAGGATAAAACAGCAGTGTCAGGAAAACTAAAGGAGATAGGAATGGAAGGGGCTAAACGAGACATAGAACAGTTTTTTCCGGATTGGCCAGTACAATAAAGACAAAAAGAGATTGATCAAGGTAGTATTCAGGAACGAGGCCACTAAAGAGGACATCCTAGTAAAGAAAAGCAAAATGAAAAAATGCAAGCAATTACAGAGAGGTATACCTTCAGAGGGACATGACCAGGGACGAGATAATAAAGGCAGCAGATGCAAGGAAAAGGAGCAGGGAGAGCGAAGGGAGCCAGGGATCAGCCTCCTTCCCAGCACTCCCAGAGGGGAGTGGGGAACCCCCAACCCAGCAATTCAGGAACTCCAGAAGGGAATGCAACACCCCAGCCCAATACCCCATAGGGACCCCCTCCACCCTCAGCTCAAATCCCTCCTTGCCCCTACACAATGCCCACCATATCATCCAAATCCTCCCTCCCCCCTTACTCTGAGTATCCCCTACCTTCCCATCCCCTGGTCTTCTTCCTGCCACAAGCAGGCCCAGACAAGACCTATGCCCAGGCAAGACCTTTCCCTAGGTTGCAATAAGAATTACAACCGGGAAATCAACTTGACCTACCACTGATCCTGCAGTCTCTCAGAGACACAACCCAGGTTTTAACACACTTCCCCCATGCACCCTAGCTCTGTCAATAAGCTGTTAATCTTTGACCTTACTTCATTACACACAGAAATCACAATAGTGTGATGCATCAAATGAACAAATCCCCAAGGGCCGTGACGAGGGTTCGAACCTACATCCGAGATAACCGAGAAAGGTTAAATATTACTATCATGGTGAGATTCTACATTCGCATTGAAAGAAAATGTTTTCCTGTTGGTTCCCAGTTGTCGGGAAGAAGGAAACATGTTAGGATCATCATAGTCTCCCTAGCCAACCTTTTACCATCCCCAGGCTGCAACATGGTCACTCTAACCAACCTATGACCATCCCCAGGGTGCAACATTCTCACACCATCAACCTTTGACCATACCCAAGTTGCAACATTCTCACACTAGCCAACCCTTCAACTATTGCCAGGTTACAATATGGTCACTCCAACAAACCTTTGACCATACCCAGGTTGCAACACTAGCTCTAACATTCTCCCACTAGCCAACCGTTGACCACCCCTGGGTTGTTATCCGGTTCGAAGGACCATAAGAATGTGGGGGGAAAATATCCCAGCAGAAATTTATATATTTATTTAATATTTTATTACTTATTTAGTTTATTAAATTATTTATAATTTATTTCTTAAGAATTTATTTTCTAATTTAAGCAGACTGTATTTTCATAGTGGACTGTATGATTCTATAGTTGTCCTGCTAGGAACTTTCCTTCACAACCTGTTTTTTTTTTAATAATATCCGAATCAAAATTAATCAATTGGTTTAATTACACTAATAAGGGTTAGTTTACTAACTAATAATGGATTATTTTAAAACAGAGCACAACTTAGCTGTTATATAGAATGTTGCTTATATATAATAAGCCATGCACATGTCTTCATCAAATAAGCTGCATCATCTCGTGGTCAAACAATAATGGCATCAGGGCATGCTTCATGTAGACCTTAGTGATTTGTTGCCAGTGCCTTAAGTTGTCACAGGTTACCTGCTGGATTAATAAACAGTAAAAGATGCACAACATCCTTATAACAGATATGACATGACATTGGATGTTATGAGATAAATGTGCAAACCGTAAAAGATTTTAGACCGCCTAGCCTCTTGTACCACCAACTGTGTAACTATTTCATTAAATCTGGTGTATTGGACGACATCCTAGCAATTTATCCAAAATTTGCTTGTCCATTGAACAATTTTATATATATTTTGTTTAAGTTGTATCTCTTGTGAATCCATCATTGCCCTTGTGTGGCAGTGCACAACAGAAAGTTGATTTTACATATTCATACATTAAAACATCGATTGTAAACATGATTTATATGAGCTTCCGCCTACAGTTTAGACCTATTGTCTTGTGCATGATCCACTGTCCTGCGTAACAGTGAATACCAGCATTATCCTCACTTTAATAAAACTTAATTGAAATCCTCAGATTAGGCAAAATTGTAATTAAATTGTGTAAATAACGATGTAATAATAATAATCTAAAACGGTTCGAGTTTTATTTCGTCAGGAATGACATTTATTTAATATTTTGTTTATAAATGATTGTATGAGACGCGAGGTGATGTTTTTTTCATCATATACAATTGATTGCTTGTTTTAAGATTAATTTACAGATTTGGTGATGTGACAGTGTCCCATTTTCTAAGCGAAACCACGAAATCCGAATTTCTTTGAATGATTCACTAAGCTATTCAGAGTTAGTGTTAATATTTGTCCAACATAATAGCAATTGCTTAGTATGCTAGGAGTTATTTTTTAGTGTCGGAATTTCAAATAATAGCTCCGGCGTTTCAATCACAGCTCTACAGTGCCTAATCGCCAAAGCCTATTTGGATGAAAATGCAACCTTTATTTTTTCCTTTTAGTTATGTGGATATTGAGGAAAATAAGGTAGACAGCAGCTTATTCATAATTTTTTTTTCGTGGTAACTGAATAAATTTCGTTGAATATTTGAATAAAATTATGTGGTAAGATGTTGAAGAGTCACGTACTGAGGTCACTCTCAGACCAATGTTGTTTTAGAGTAATTTGGTCAAGATTTTATTGAGTATTAAATGTAGCTTTGGTCAATTCAAATGGTGTCAGTTATTATTAGAAAAGGCTCTTTACGTAGTAGAAGACCTTACTGTGTTTTTTTAAACCACAGCTTTTTAGAAGCTAAGGCTGGAAGTATGGAGCAATATTGCAGCATCCTCAACCTTCAGTATTGTAAGGTTATAAGGATACGTCGATAAATTGTAGGTAAATATTGTAGAATTTTGTTGGTCTTATACGAATCTTATAAAAAAATATGTCTATACAAATCATATCAAAATAAGTCCTACAAAAATCTTGCTAAAGAAAATCTTCCAAAACTTGTCAAAATACATTTGGCAAAACTTACTGATATGTCGTGCACATATTTTTCCCAGACTTGTGTATTTTGTGAAATAGATTTCCGGAAAACATAATAAACGAAGAACTATGTGATTATTCCAAGTGTAGGTAAGACACGTACCCACCTAGTTGTGCTTGCGGAGGTTGAGCTCTGGCTCTTTGGTCCCGCCTCAACTGTCAAACAACCGGTGAGTGAATGTGAATGAGTTTAGGTGAAAACATTCAGGAGCTGCCTCAAATGGGCCACCACGGGCCCCTACGTGTCTTTATTTCTTGTGTTCTTGTATCCCCAAGAGAGAGAGAGAGAGAGAGAAGGAAGTGAGGAAGCAGACGCCAGGCCTCGCTCACCCGACACGGAGCCTCATACCGCAGCCTGATAACCAAGGAAATTTGATATGGAGTTGGTAAAGTTCACTGCCAGCTACGGGTTTCACCTCTAGCCAACAAGCCTACGTCCCAAGTAGGCTTGTTGGCTAGCAGGGAGAGAGAGAGAGGGAGGGAGGGACGGAGAAAGGAAGGGTAGTAGGGACAGATAAGTAACTGACGTAGGCTGGAAGAAATTAACAGTGTGATACTAAATGACCCTTACTTTGCGATGATTTCGAGGCTCAAGGTCCCCGCGGCCCGGTCCTCGACCAGGCCTCCTGGTTGCTTAACTTATCAACCAGACTGCTGGACACGGCTGCTCTCAGCCTGACGTACGAATCACACTCCACTACCACAATCAATTAGTCACTAGCAACCTTTAACACCATCCTTTACCATCAACCACTATCAACTGAACTCCACCAACAACAACAACTAGTGCCTGAATTAAGAGGGAACATAATCATGACATACAAGTTACTGAGGGTTAACATGCAATATACTGAGAGAAACGGGAACAAGAGAACGTAGATGGAAGCTGGAAATTCAATTAAGTCGCAGAAATGTTAAGAAATGCTCGTATTCCTTACGGGTATCAACAAGTAGAATGCACTGAAAGGAAAAGTCTCGGAAGCCACCTCCATCTACAACTTCAAGGCCAGACACGACAAGTAACTCGAACGTCAGTCAAGGTAATAAACAAAAAAGTTATACTTTCATTTATAAGCAGGTGTAAGAACACCACGAACAAGAACACGAACAAAAACACCACGTACAAGAACACCACGAACAAGAACACCGCGAACAAGAACTCCACGAACAAGAACACCACGAACAAGAACACGAACAAAAACACCACGTACAAGAACACCACGAACAAGAACACCGCGAACAAGAACAACACGAACAAGAACACCTCGAACAAGAACACCACGAACAAGAACACGAACAAAAACACCACGTACAAGAACACCACGAACAAGAACACAACGAATAAGAACACCACGAACAAGAACACAACGAATAAGAACACCACGAATAAGAACACCACGAACAAGAACACCACGACCATGAACACCACGAACAAGAACACGAACAAGAACACCACGTACAAGAACACCACGAACAAGAACATCACGTACAAGAACACCACGAACAAGAACACCACGAACAAGAACACCACGTACAAGAACACCACGTACAAGAACACCACGAACAAGAACACCACGTACAAGAACACCACGACCATGAACACGAACAAGAACACCACGAACAAGAACACTACGAACAAGAACACAACGAACAAGACCACCACGAACAAGAACACCACGAACAAGAACACCACGAACAAGAACACGAACAAGAACACCACGAAAAGAGAACACCACGAACAAAAACACCACGAACAAGAACACCACGAACAAGAACACCACGTACAAGAACACCACGAACAAGAACACCACGAACATGAACACCACGAACAAGAACACCACATACAAGAACACCACGTACAAGAACACCACGTACAAGAAAACAACGAACAAGAACACCACGAACAAGAACACCACGAACAAGAACACCACGAACAAGAACACCACGAACAAAAACACCACGAACAAGAACACCCCGAACAAAAACACCACGAACAAAAACACCACGAACAATAACACCACGAACAAGAACACCACGAACAAGAACACCACGAACAAGAACACCACGAACAAGAACACGTACAAGAACACCACGAACAAGAACACCACGTACAAGAACACCACGAACAAGAACACCACGAACAAGAACATCACGAACAAGAACGCCACGTACAAGAACACCACGAACAAGAACACCACGAACAAGAACACCACGAACAAGAACACCACGAACAAGAACACCACGTACAAGAACACCACGACCATGAACACGAACAAGAACACCACGAACAAGAACACCACGTACAAGAACACTACGAACAAGAACACCATGAACAAGAACACGAACAAGAACACCACGAACAAGAACACCACGAACAAGAACACCACGAACAAGAACACCACGAACAAGAACACCACGAACAAGAACACCACGAACAAGAACACGAACAAGAACACCACGAATAAGAACACCACGAACAAAAACACCACGAACAAGAACACCACGAACAAGAACACCACGTACAAGAACACCACGAACAAGAACACCACGAACATGAACACCACGAACAAGAACACCACGAACAAGAACACCACGAACAAGAACACCACGTACAAGAACACCACGTACAAGAACACCACGTACAAGAAAACAACGAACAAGAACACCACGAACAAGAACACCACGAACAAGAACACCACGTACAAGAACACCACGAATAAGAACACCGCGAACAAGAACACCACGGACAAGAACACCACGGACAAGAACACCACGAACAAGAACACCACGAACAAGAACACGAACAAGAACACCACTAACAAGAACACCACGAACAAGAACACCACGAACAAGAACACCACGAACAAAAACACCACGAACAAGAACACCACGAACAAAAACACCACGAACAAAAACACCACGAACAATAACACCACGAACAAGAACACCACGAACAAGAACACCACGTACAAGAACACCACGAACAAGAACACCACGACCATGAACACCACGAACAAAAACACCACGAACAATAACACCACGAACAAGAACACCACGTACAAGAACACCACGAACAAGAACACCACGAACAAGAACACCACGTACAAGAACACCACGTACAAGAACGCCACGTACAAGAATACCACGAACAAGAACACCACGAACAAGAACACCACGAACAAGAACACCACGAACAAGAACACCGCGAACAAGAACACCACGTACAAGAACACCACGTACAAGAACACCACGAACAAGAACACCACGTACAAGAACACCACGTACAAGAACACCACGTACAAGAACACCACGAACAAGAACACCACGTACAAGAACACCACGTACAAGAACACCACGAACAAGAACACCGCGAACAAGAACACCACGAACAAGAACACCACGAACAAGAACACCACGAACAAGAACACCACGTACAAGAACACCACGAACAAGAACACCACGTACAAGAACACCACGTACAAGAACACCACGAACAAGAACACCACGTACAAGAACACCACGTACAAGAACACGTACAGGAACAACAGTATCGCCAAGCCTTTACAACACGCTAGAATCCGCTTCCAACTATGGTTGTATATTTCTACATAAAAGGTAAATATTGTTGTAGCTTTGTATGAATGTATAACCGGAGGGGAATACGCGTTGTTGTTCACTGAGGCATCATACATATTCTCAATGAATTTCGATATATTATCTTACCTGTTATTCTGTATGTGTCATATGCAAATGACCTGCGATATTTGATTGAGGGAGTTATTTATTGTGTGAGCGGTTGTGCACTTAGCTGCATGGGCTTGTAGGATGAGCTTCAGCTCCTGGGCCCCATATACTCAGCCACCAGTTAAGTATTGCAATGAATCGCGACCCAGCACCATCACCCTTTACTCACCCCTCCAGCACACAACCCCTGTCCTTACTCATCCCTCTAGCACACAACCCCTGCCCTTACTCATCCCTCCAGCACACAACCCCTGCCCTTACTCACCCTTCCTGCACCACAACCCCCGCCCTTACTCATCCCTCCAGCACCACAACCATCACCCTTACTCATCCCTCCAGCTCCACAACCCCCACCTTTACTCACCCCTCCAGCACCACAACCACCACCCTTACTCACCCCTCCAGCACCACAACCATCACCCTTACTCACCCCTCCAGCACCACAACCAGCACCCTTACTCATCCCTCCAGCACCACAACCATCACCCTTACTCACCCCTCCAGCACCACAACCACCACCCTTACTCACCTCTCCAGCACCACAACCACCACCCTTACTCACCTCTCCAGCACCACAACCACCACCCTTACTCGCCCCTCCAGCACCACAACCCCCACCCTTACTCACCCCTCCAGCACCACAACCACCACCCTTACTCACCCCTCCAGCACCACAACCACCACCCTTACTCACCTCTCCAGCACCACAACCACCACCCTTACTCACCACTCCAGCACCACAACCACCACCCTTACTCATCCCTCCAGCACCACAACCACCACCCTTACTCACCTCTCCAGCACCACAACCACCACCCTTACTCACCTCTCCAGCACCACAACCCCCACCCTTACTCATCCCTCCAGCACCACAACCACCACCCTTACTCACCCCTCCAGCACCACAACCGCCACCCTTACTCACCTCTCCAGCACCACAACCACCACCCTTACTCACCCCTCCAGCACCACCACCCTTACTCACCCCTCCAGCACCACAACCCCCACCCTTACTCACCTCTCCAGCACCACAATCCCCACCCTTACTCATCCCTCCAGCACCACAACCACCACCCTTACTCATCCCTCCAGCACCACAACCCCCACCCTTACTCACCCCTCCAGCACCACAACCACCACCCTTACTCACCTCTCCAGCACCACAACCACCACCCTTACTCACCTCTCCAGCACCACAACCCCCACCCTTACTCATCCCTCCAGCACCACAACCACCACCCTTACTCACCCCTCCAGCACCACAACCACCACCCTTACTCACCTCTCCAGCACCACAACCACCACCCTTACTCATCCCTCCAGCACCACAACCCCCACCCTTACTCACCCCTCCAGCACCACAACCACCACCCTTACTCACCTCTCCAGCACCACAACCACCACCCTTACTCACCTCTCTAGCACCACAACCCCCACCCTTACTCATCCCTCCAGCACCACAACCCCCACCACAACAACCACCCTGTACTCTCCCAGCAGCAGAAGGCGAGAATACTTGTACTCATGTGTGAGTCACTAGCCAGGCTTCTCCCGTGGAGACATGACGCACTGACCTCCAACTGAAATATTTTTAGCTTCGTCAACACTAAAAATATTATCATATCTTTCTCTCTCTCTCACTCTCTCTCTCTCTCTCTCTCTCTCTCTCTCTCTCTCTCTCTCTCTCTCTCTCTCTCTCTCTCTCTCTCTCTCTCTCTCTCTCTCTCTCTCTCTCTCTCTCTCTCTCTCTCTCTCACTCTCTCTCTCTCACTCTCTCTTCTTCTCTCGACAGAGGACATGACACCTTTGAAATTTATGCAAATAAAATATTCCGAGTTCCCCCTCTCTTCCAAATTGCATGCAGTTGGAATATATATATATATATATATATATATATATATATATATATATATATATATATATATATATATATATATATATATATATATATATATATATATATATATATATATATATATATATATATATATATATATATATAATGAATGCAACTGCCGAAGGCCTATTGGCCCATACTTTCTCTTGCTGCTTCTATGTTGGTTCGGAGTCTTGAAGTGGGTAGAATATAGTTATGCGTTAATTGGCTGTTGATTGCTGGTATTGACTTTTTGATGTGTAGTGCCTCGCTGATGTCGAGTCTCCTGCTATCGCTGTATCTATCGATGAGTTCTGTGTTGTTTGTTAGGATTTCTCTGGTGATGATCTGGCTGTGTGAAGAGATTATATGTTCCTTGCTGGAGCCCTGTTGTTTGTGCAGTGTAAATCGCCTGGAAAGAAACGTTGTTGTCTTGCTTATATACTGAGTTCTTTGGGGCTTACAGTCCCCAAGTGGGCATGTGAAGGCATAGACGACGTTGGTTTCCTTCTCTCTCTTATATATAACCCCGGGTCCCCTTTTTCCAGCCAGAGGTGGAAAGTGGACATGTGAAGGCAAGTGCCTTAACCTGCCCACTTGGGGATTGTCAGCCCCAAGAAATTCAATATATAGGCAAGACAACATCATCATGAACAAATCCACAAGGGCAGTGACGAGGATTCGAACCTGCGTCTGGAAGCATCCCAGACACTGCCTTACTTTCGAATTCGAAAGATTCGAACGCAGATTCGAATCCTCGTCACTGCCCTTGTGGATTTGTTCATTTGATGCATCACGTTAGTGTGATCTCTGTGTGTGACAACATCATCATCCCTTTCAAGACGCCTAACAATGCAAAATCAGCAAGGACCTATTAAAGAACATATTGTCTCTATACATAACAAGACTATCACCAGAGATATACTCACAAACAACACTAAAATAATCAACAGATACCGCGACAGCAGAAGACTGTGTGTTGGCGAGGCATTGTACATAAAGCTTATACCAAGCCACGTAACACTATAGCCCACCTCCACCACATTACACTCTGCCAACTACCAGAGCCCGAGGGATCACTCAGCACACTGCACCAGCCATCATCCCAACACCAGAGTGACATAGGTCCCCTGTGTCTTAAGTGAGACTTGACATGATACATGTGCCATTCGAGCCCCGCTCCTGTGCCAGGTAAGTCCACTACGGGCTCACCATACCCAGTGCTACTTGGAACTTGTTCCGAGTAGCTGAATCTATAACAACAATAAATACATAGGCATACATTACATGATAAGGTCAACTTTTGCAGTACTGCTCCGGTCAGGTTTTCACATCATTGTTTGGTTGTAGTGAAGCTTGTAGTTACCGATCAGGTTAGAGTGAGGTACAGGGTCATGGAAGCTCTGTACTGTGGGAGGACTTGGTCATTAAGACACGCAAGTTCGCGTGTCTGTTGGAGTGACGGAACCTGTGAAAAGTTGAATGTAAAATAGTGTTCATGAAGGCGAAGAGTCTCAATAACGTGGCTGAAGTATGTTGACCAGACCACACACTAGAAAGTGAAGGGACGACGACGATTCGGTCCGTCCTGGACCATTCTCGAAACGTCGTCGTCCCTTCACCTTCTAGTGTTCATGAAATTGTCCAAGAGTCAGTCACACGGCGGAAAAATAAAGACTTACGAACTTGCTACAAAACAGATTAAAACAATTTTATGCAATGGTCAATATGGAATTAGTTAAGTATGAAGAAATTACTTTCCTAAAGGACAGACTCAACAAAATGGAAGCAATAGCTGAAAGGAGGCAATGTAGTGTTCGTCTCAAGATTAGTGATAGAATATATGGGAAAAATCCGTATATATATATGCTAAGTAAAGTAAAAAATAACAGGTGTATGGCGCATGTAACCAATCATGGAACAGATGACGGGACGGAAATGATAAATACAGATGGGATTGAGTGCCAAGCTCGAGGTGAATTGGAAAACTTCTTTAGGAGGATGGAGGAAGAAAACTTTAAAGCTGTGGGAGGATCATCGGTTTTATGCCAGTGCGACCAAATTCTGAACAGCAGGAAATTTCTGTTTCCCCGGGATCAGTGAATAATGGTGTAATAGTTTAGTAAAGTTAATTTGAAAATATATGTGTGTGCCTGACCATCCTATGTTCATCCCATACCTCTGACCATTCCATCTGAATTTGAGTGAGACTAGGCGCAAGCGTCTGGTCTCTAACTTTCGACAGACATACATTCTCTCTTATCTTATAGACATATATCTGTACTCTGAGACAGAGAATGTCTGTCTGAAGGTAATCAGGAGAAAGCACTAAGCCGTTACGACTAATGTCTGTCTGACGGAGTGACGAAGGTAGAATGTTTTTAAGATGCAAGATGAGCGGAGGGGAGATGGGCAGATGATGGGGTGAGAGGAAGAACAAGAAAGTAATAAGAGGAGAGTTGGTTGATGAAATAGGGGAAGAGGATAAAAGTGGGGGAAGAGGGGGAGGGGTGGTTGAGAGGTGGGAGTGGGGTTAGAGGAGTGGGAGGAGGGAGAAGAGAGGGGACAGAAGAATGGGGATGGGAGAGGTAGTAGAAATAGAGGAAAGAATAGGGTAGCAGAGAAAAAGGGCGGGGAGGGGGGGATGGAGGGGGAGGTAACGGAAAGCTGATTGGGAAATGTAGGGGCGGGGCAGGAGGGAAGACAAAGCCCCGGGCACTGCCGGGTATCCCTCTAGTACCGGATATGAGAATGCGAAATCGGAGGAACAAGGAATGTGCCCAGGAAGGTACACAACTTTTCACTGTACTTGCTGATTGCATTGTTACTCTGCATTCTACTAGACAGGTAATAAAATACCAATCGGCATAAATATATATATATCATGGTTACATTAAAACATTGATTGTAACCATGATATATATATGTGCCAGTTTAGACCTATTGTCTTGTGTATGACCCTCTGTCCTGCGTGACAGTGAATACCAGCATT